TTCACAGACTGTCCCGTGTAGCATTTGTTTCTGGCCACAATATCCTAGGCTGCTTTCTGGATGCATGTGTATGTCGTCAGCAGTGCAAGCCTTGAAACAGTTGGGAGTGTGCCAGGCATCCCTGTTCCTCTCATTAAGAACTGAGGCCTTTCATTTACTTCAATAGTGCTGGTATAGTAAGGCTGGCAGGTCAGTGTTTTGTGAATGGTCGGTAACTGGCTGTGTTGTTAATTACAAAGCATATTTTGCCAAAGGATTTCATCCAAAAAGGCATGCCCGACAACTTTTAATTCTCGGGCCTCCAGCTATATATTTCTTTATGTTACTCAAGATGAACTCACTGGAAAGGAGTATGGGAAGCCATGGCCATACCATTGAAGAAGCATTAGGCCCCGAGATGGGAGTTAATGGAACTGGCCCTGCCACTACTGCCTGAGTTAAGATAATACTACTCTAGGAAACTGATTAATAGTCTTGGCCAAGATATTATCAGGTGCAGAGTTAGCTTCAAAGGTCAGGACTTTGAACATAATTGTAGACCCAGTGGTCAAAGGTTTCATGGAGCCCACTCAATGCTGGAGCACATTTTACAGGCAATTATATGCTTAGCCAGATGCCATTTTCTTCATGTTTGAACCTATTCAGATTGTCTGCTCACTGATTAGGCTCACCAGTAAAAGCAGGGCCCTTTTCTAGTACTGCTAGTGCATTTTAGGATTAACACTTGCCTTACAGATAGATGAGGCTTTATTAAGCTTTGACTATGCAGCTGTAGAGAACATAATATGGTCCATGTATTGTAATGGAGTGGGAGAGGGCACTTTTTTTTAATACTCTTATGTTAAGGGTCACTGCATTAGAGAGTAATAATTTTAAGTGAAACCACATTTCTAACAAGGGACCAGATAATGAGGATAAATGAAATCTGCAGACAGTCTCGGGGCTTCATTTCAGCCATTAGTTATAATCTGTTCTACCAAACCTTTTACTATGAAGCAAAATTGATTAATTTGCATGTATCTCTTCTCCCTGTACACACATACTTACTGATAGAGTGAACAAATAGAGAAATGGACGAGAGAGAAAATATGATGGGGGCTGAGGCCTGGTGGACTTGGGCACATGTAATCCCCAAACTGGATAATCAGCAATGGAATCATCAAGATAATATATTTGAGGGTCCAACATTAATTTTGATGTGTAATTATTTGTGTTTAAATATGAAAGATTGTATAATATCATTAGTAAAAAATGACTTGCTATGGAATGGCTCTGAATAAATAGGGCTTTCTTTTTAGCATGAAACAATAATCTGTTGAGCTGGCCTTAATGTTTGCTTGGCACACACAGATACAGCTCTCTTTAGCACTATATCCTGTTATGTGTAAGTCCTACACATATATACTACAATTCCAGTTGATTTATAGCTCTGCTTAGCAAAAGTACACTCCTGACTAAAACAATATTAGAGTAGCTGATGGATCTTGAAAGTATTTTTTTTTCTCAGACATTCTAATCATTTTGAAACTGACCTGCAGAGTTGCTTGTAGCTAGGTTTACAAGTCTCCAGGTTTTGCCTACTTGGTTATATTTTTGGAGAGTGGTACAATTAGTTAGGGATATATTACTATTTGATTGCCATTCTGAACCTAGACACTTTCTCTTTTTCCATCATAAGACAGTTACAAATATGGTTTTAGAGCACACTTACTTCATGGAATACTTGTTCTCTATGTAACGGATCCCATATCTCATTGATAACTTCAACAGTAGCTGTTATGAAACAGCCCAGCAAAAGCAACTTAAGGGAGCATGCATTTATTCTGGTTTACAATGCATTGTAGTGTGGAAGGCAGAGTGGCAGGAGGATGAGGCTAGCACCACACAATGTATCAGTAGTTGAGAAACAGGCAGAGAGAGAAGAAGAAGTGGGGCCAAGCTATAAAACCTTACACCCCCCCCCACACACACACACCTAGCCACCACTACCTGAATTACTTCTTCCAGCAAGGCTTTATCTTCTAAAGGTCACCGGCTGGAGACCAAGTGTTCACGCACAGGAGCTTATGGGGACTTTACATATTCAAACCACAGCATCATTCATTTTGGTGAAGAAGACTTGGTTTGCAAAGACAGGGATTTCTTTAGGCTGATCAGAATAGGTTGCTTCCACTCTCCCGCATTGATTCTTCTATGTAACTATTTGTTAGCATCCATGGTCCAAGCACAACGAAAAAGCTACTGCTTAAGTTCCAAAGAAGTCGGGCAGTTAGTGTCGCATGCCTTTAATCCCAGCACTCAGGAGGCAGAGGCAGGCAGATCTCTGTGAGTTCGGGGCTAGCCTGCTCTACAGAGTTCCAGAATAAATAGCCAAGGCTACACCGAGAAACTGTGTCTCGGAGGAGAAAAAAACCAACCCCAAAAAAGTACCAAAGAGAGTGTTATCCCCATTCTCTTGATTCTGCTAGTTGAAAAAAGTGAGTCACCCCAGTTTGAGTTTTCTAGCTTCATGGAATACCTTTCTGACCTGAAAGCACCATGAAAAATGGTGCTTCTCACAAAGCATTTACTTTAAAATTTGTAGGGACTTTCAATTGTTGAAATCATAGGAACCCAGAAAAGTAATTTGATGCCTGGGCCTTCTCATAGTATAAAAGTAAATAAACAATCCTGTTGGTGAGTAATTTTTATATTGTTCAATGTGTCCTTCAATTCTGATCTCAGATAAACAGGGTTTTTCAAGTAATAATTTATATGCCACACAACTAGTCTTAGCCCCTTTTAATTATTAAATTTAAAATGCCAGAGAGTCTCACTGAAGAGAATGTGTTCCTATAGAGAAAGGGTTTGTATGTCAAAACTCTCCCTCCATCCATTTCCCCAATATGTAGGCCCAGAGCTTGTATGGATATTAGAGATTATCTACTTTAACTGGGATAAGAAAAAAAATCACCTCCAGGAGTAGTTCCTTTTCCAGACCATACTTGCTGAAACACGAGCAGCCAGCCCTGCAATTCTGACACCATTTTCATCCCCTTCATCTCTCCGAGACAGTTAAATAGCCCTGATCTTTGCCTGACACTCTCGTCGTGCAGATAAGAAACGCGTCTCCGAGCTGTGGCTAGACAGCTTAATAACACCAAAATTATTTTCAATTTTAACATGACATATTTTTGATAAATAGAGGTAACAATTCAAAATTCCCTCTGTGGAATGATAGAGCATAAATTACCTGTGCTGTGTATTTTGGAGAAACAAATTATGAAGCCTCTGACATTGTCAAAAGAGTAAACTTTCAGAGTCACTCACCGATCAGAAAGTTAGGATAGAGAAAGTATCACATTTGTCATTGCCTCAATGCTGTGTCACACTTTGGGATGACTGGTAGATAGATGCCCTTCATGCTGGAAATATTTGATAATTAAAAAGTCCTATTTCCTTTCAGCTGTCCACAGTCACATCCCACAGGGTCTGAGAGGCCTTACTGTGATGGTTTTTAAACTGCTGTCCTGGTTGCATTTTTAGCAAGCAGAGATCCATGGGAATATTGATATCCAATAGATAGAATAGCCACAGGGATACACTTTAATAATAATAATAAAAAAGACAGCAATTACTCAAAAGATGTGATAGGCTCAAAGGGTACATGTATGAAGATAGGATGAAATCCACCTCCCAGGGGACATTTCATTCCCCCCCAAACCAGAAAATTTTTACCAAAGGACAAAAATGACAACCAGATTCTCACTGGCACCTTTTGCCTCTAAAATCTTGACTTGTATACACACATGGGAACCATATGACTCTGTCTTCACTCGTCTGCTCTAAAAAGAAGCCTCTGTCTGGGAATAGTGTGTACCCGCCTTTACACCCTCCCTATAGTATGTTAGCAGCTCCTTGGGAACTCTTGATCTGAGGTACCTGGAGGTATAGAAGAATGGAATAGGATGGTCGCGCTTTTAAAAATTACATTTTTATTATCAGTGTTTTTAAGACCTTTGAATAATTTCTCTTCAGATTTGTTGCACTGTTCTAGGAGGTGAAAGGACCACTTCTTTGGATTATATGCCAATTAAAGGAAAGCACATTTGTTTTGCTTCAAAACAAAAGCCAAAATATTAGCAACAGATCTTTCTATGGCCAATAGACTTCTCTTTTTAGGCATCACTAAAAGTTTACTTCACACTTTAAAATGTTATAGTGGTTCCTGGGCTAGGATAATAAACTAGAAAAATGTCCCGTCCTGATGTAATTTGAACTCCTTATTGCTGAAACATATTAGGAAATGTACAGTCTGATTATTTTCATTACTTTTTAGTCTTCTCTTTTAATCAAGGTCTCACTATATAGGCCAAACTGCCCTGGAGCTCACTATGTAGCACAGGTTGACTTCAAACACTTGATTGTCCTATCTTGCCTTGCATGTGCATCAGCCAGCCCAGCTTGTTTTTTTGTTTTTTTTTTCAGACTTATCAGACAGTGTTAATTTGCCTACAGAGGAGTTGAGGTTTTTAAAGAACTAAAGCCTGAGAGGGCATTGGGATAACCTGAAGTCAGAGTGTGACTGCATGGGGTTTTGCTGTCTCTTTGAAGTCATTTTCTTCTTCCAGGTTGGGAATCATGGCAGCTATCTTACTCTATGCATATAGTTTGTTTCAGATTTCTAGACAAAACAGCACAGGCTGGCATATGTTGGGCACATACAAGTGAGCATTTTTACATCCCTATGGATATCATAGTGGCCTTCCAATCCAAAACCAAAGTGTCGGAAAACAGAAAACTACTACATCTAAAAACTAGGGGATAGGGTTGAGGGCTTAGCTCAGTGGTAGAGTACTTGTCTAGCAAGTACAATTCCCTGGGTTTGGTCCTCAGTACTGGACAAAATAAAAATAACTAAAAACAAGGGTTGGCTGGGAAGAACTGCATTGAAAGTTTAAGTATAACCTTTCTGTTTCTGTGAAGAAGTCTGTACTAATAAAACTGCCAATTTCTTTCAGGTGGGTGTGCATGGCATTAGAATAGAATTCATCAATGAAAAAGGATCAAAACGCACCGCCACCTACCTACCGGAGGTTGCAAAGGAGCAAGGTCATTGTACTTTATTTCATATGATCTAGTGAAGATTTTAAAGTGAAATGCAGCAGCTGACCTTGCAGTCGTGTCTGACAATTGATCACCATCACATTGTAATAACTGATTTTTTTCATCACTGTCACTGCAATGTCTGGTTCAAATTGGTGAATTACACAGAATCTGCTTCTTGGCAGTGACATTTGACAGCATATACTCATAAACACATACTTTAAAAATAGCACAAATTTATAAAAGGTGGGGCTTATTTTAAGCAACAGCTTGTTACTACTTTAGAGCACAATTTTCCCATGCACCAGTGTGCAGTAATTAGCATGGTGACATGAAGAGGCCTTAGGCTTACAGACAGCTGTGTAGTTTGCTCTTATTACCATTATCAAACAATTCTTCCATGCTTGCTAGTATTCATTGTGTTAATAGTGAAACTGTAAGTTTCCCATGGAGATCGGGAACATTATGAATACATGAAGTATTACTTTATGTTTAGCCTACACTTCATGATCACTATTTTCTTATTTCACAGATCTGCCACATAGCTTTATGAACCAATATGGTGACACCAAACAACTGTGCTATAGTGCTTTGTCCTTCCTAGCCACTACTAAATTCTAGCCTCAAATTAGTTCAAGTGAATGCTTTTAAATAATTCTGTAGAACTTATCTTTTTCAGGATCTTTTTCAGGAAGCATTTAAAATGTGCCTTCCCTGTGTATTCTCAGACAAATATGAAAGATATAACAACAAATTTTAATTAATTGTCAAATGAGACGTTAATCTTTAAGGCAGCTATGTGACAATTTATTTGGATTGCTTTAGAAAATGTCTTACTACAGTAGGATCATTCACATCAGAAGGATATAGAATGACATTCATATCAAAAACAATAAAATACCCTTGAGTATTTCACACAAATATAGGTTTTTGAGCATAGAAGATACAACTAAGGTCAGCATTACCATGCAATAGTTATGAGAGCCCCAAATACAAGTTAATGCAGGTCATGTTTTATTTATTTAAGCTTTCCCTCCGTTTTGAAGGCATGAACAGTTTCTTAGACAATTTAAGACATGTGGTGATGAGCCTGCAATAAATCTTAGTTCTTATGTATGACTTTTTTTTTTTTAGGACCAAAGGAGTTGATGACATTTGGTCACAGTGATAGCTGACCTCTCTACAGAGTCATTTTGTCATTTTGTATTTAAGCAAATGTCCTTTGTGGTATGTGCTTGACTGATATTTTATCTCATTGCCTCTCCACAGGATGGGACCATATTCAGACCATAGACTCCTTACTAAGGAAAGGAGGCTACAAAGCTCCGATTACTAACGAATTCAGGAAAACCATAAAGCTGACCAGGTACCATGGCATTTTTAACACGACTTATAGTACATTTCCAAGTACATGCCTATAAGTCTTGCTTTCTTTGGTCTCTTGAACTACACTTGCTTCTCTTGTCTAAAATAGTGGAACAAATGCAGGGCCATAGTGAGAGTGGATACAGTGGAACTCTGCTTGGCAGTAAATACTGCATGATATATGAGCCCATCCTTCCCACCTTAGCTCCTTGTGATTATTCTGGCTTTGTACAACCAACCCCCTGAGACTTCAAACTACCTTATTGGAGAAAGTACCAGAATTGGTTATTCACTAGCTTTTGACATTGCCTACGAGAACCCCAGGATTCTGATAAGTAGTCCTAAAATTTAAATTTAACCTTAGAATTTTGGCAGTGATAGGAGTCTACTATGAAAGCTTATTGAGAAACACAATTGAGCTGAACTTGAATGCTAAATAAATTTCATCATGGAATAATAGGGATACTTAAGAAGGAAAGTATTGAACATTTTAAGAAAATGGGTTACTGTTTCCATTCATTTCAATTCCAGAAAATTGCATTATGTGCCTGTGGTTTAAAAATGGATTGTTGTCAGTTCTGCATAGTTACAAATTTGAAAATGCCCCCATTTCTTTTCTCCCCAAGTTTATAGTTTGAGGATAATAGAAGGGCGTGAATAAAAATAATTACTACCACAAGGCAGAATATTATGGATGTGTAGGATCATAATGCCGGGGAAGAGGAACCCCAGGAAGTCAGTGGGTAACAGAAGACTTCAAAGAGGAGGTGGATTTAGGGCTTTAAAATGGGTAGACTATTTGACAGGTACAAAGCGAAGGAGGAAAGGGATTCCCTGAAGATGTGTTGTGAGTCAAAGCATGTAGGCGGTAAGGAAAAGAGCCAGTTTTAAGGCATATGAAGCACTATGATTTCAGTGCACGTAGGAAATGTCTTTAAAGGAAGATTGGCCCAGAAGGTAGATTGAGTCAGATCATGCAAGGCTTGGTATTCCAAAATTAAAACTTTGGACCTGATTGTATAGACATTGTATAGCCATTATAGGGCTTTAAAAAAATATTCTCCAGGCCAGGTAAGGTGGTACAAGCCTTTAATCCCAGCATTCAGGAAGCAGAGGCAGGTGATCGCTGTGATTTCAAGGCCAGCTTGATAGTGGGTTCCAGGACAGCCAGGACTATGCAGAGAGAGACCCTGTCTAAAAATTTCATCTTGGAAAGTATAGGATTGGAACAGGTAAATTATGTAGGGAACATTGCTGTTACCTAAGACTCTGTGCAGCAGTCTAAACCACACAGTTTGGGCCTTTAACTGGAGCTGTGGCCGCAGGATAGGGAAGCTGGAACATGCTGAAGCATATTGTGGAAGAAATGAAACACTTGAGGGTCAAGGAAGGTGAGGTGAAAAGGACCAAGATCATCCCTTGGGAAAAAAAAAACATATAGGGACCCCAAGAGAAGACTTAGGTTTATGTTTCAGTCCTGGATTTGAATTATGTCTGTATAGAACTGTCACCGAAAATGTATGTGTGTGAAGTTCATGACATAGCTTGCAGCCTGGAATAATCTGTGATTCAGAGCTGAAGCTATAAAGGGCCTGATGTACTGAGAGGGGGCAGTGTGTAAAGTCTATAAACAGCTAATGTTAGAACCTAGGAAAATTCTACAGAGTCGTAGTAAGGAGCAACTGTCAAAGAGTTAAGAAGCCATCTGAGAATCAGGAGCAGAACCAGGGACAGGGGGAGGTACAAAACCCATGAGACTACAGAGCAAGGGGTGGTTGGAACCGTCATGGGAATGTCCAACTGAATCCAAAGAGGCCTCCGACAGTCATGAAAGAACAGTGGCAGAAACAAGGGACGCTGGGCAATGGATAGAGTAAGAAGGAGACTGAAGAAGAAACTATGCTTCCTCTTGAAAGGCAATAGAAAGATAACTAGATACAGGCCAAGGACAGGGTTCCAGTGCAAGATGTTGTAACATAGTGGCAAAACTCAAGATGTGTGGACAAAGAAAGGAATGGTAAGGGAGGAAGAGATGGAAGGTCTTTGAAGAAAAATGTCCCAATGAATGAGATAAATATGTGATGGAGATAGATACGTGATGGTAAAAGGTCGGCTTTTCCTTGTTCCTTCTTACTTCATATTGGGTGAAAGGGGCAATGCCATTCCCAGAGCACTTTAAACAAGTAGTAGAGCAGAAAAAGCAATGGACTCAGAGTTTGGATTCCTGTGTTGATCTCACCTTTGCTGCTAACAACCTCTGTGACCTTAGGCAAGTAACTGCTTCTCTCAGGGCTTCTTGTTTCCTATACTTAGGGCCCTCCAAGCTCTGATAATAGAATTATCATCCGTTTGACACTAACTTTCCTCTTCCCAAACTCTCTTTTAGATACCGTAGTGAAAAGATGACCTTGAGTTATGCTGAATACCTTGCTCATCGCCAGCATCATCACTTCCAAAATGGCATCGGGCATCCCCTTCCGCCATACAACCATTATTCCTGACACTGAGCCGCACAACCAGTCACTGGGCCTCTCTGCAGACCTCTTCCCAGGAGACCCTACACCTTCTTGGTCTAGCTATCTCTTTTACTGTACCATTTTATGATGGTAGTTTCCGTTGCCATGATGACCATCATGGTAACGGGTAGGAAAATGGCATTTGTTAAGAAGATCTTGTTATTATTTTAGATCCTTGATTTTTTTGCAGCACATACAGCTTTTGGAGTTTTCTTTCCTTACAATATTAGGTATACTTTTGCTTTACTATCTCAGTCTTTTTATCCCTTTTCTTTTTCTTGCTTCCTCCTTCCTTCTTTTGACTGTGGATGGAAGAAAGTATGCAGTTTTTGAGGATTTATTAGGTTTGTCTGTAGTATTTCTCAGTAAGGTAGTCATTTTTTGATAGCTGAGTTGGGGATTAACTCATAACAAATTCGGGTATTTGCATATTACTCTTGAATTTGCCTAAAATTCTGTTTGCTATGACAGCTTCGTATTTGAGTCAAGTACATGTTTTTCCCGTGGTTAAAATAAGTGAGGTTTAGTTTAAGTAAACATTCAAAGGTCCATGATAGGGCTTGTGACAGAAAGCAAGAAACCATTGATGCTATCTGTGCTGGTTATGGTAGAAGAGACAGCCTCATCAAGTTATAGAGCCAATTTCCAAACTAAGACACTGTTTTCGAAAAGCATAAGCTACCTTTCCGATGGGCTGCAGAGATCATTTTGAAAGGCAGCAAATATTAGGAAGAGATCAGACACAGAACTTAGTGCCTTTGAGAAGACTATAATTAAGTCAAATTAAGCGGGGTTTTAAAAAGGCAGTTTAGAGAAATATTCTTGTAAAATTTTATTGTTTCTATGTAAGAAACAACAGATTACACAAATTCCTTACTCCAAAGTATTTTTTTAGCTGAAAAAAATTATTTTGAGCAAATAACCAAAAAGACATTTGTCTATTTTGTATTAATTTAAATTTGTTAGCTTTAGGTTTCAATGAGTCATAATTGGTCAGAGACAACTTTAGCTATTATCTAAGACATGATAAAGATGATATAGTGAAACAAAAGTTCCTTCATACTATGATTTCAAATTTGTCTATCATGGAGACAGTGCTGTTTCCGAGATCCTATAAAGAGTTTGAATCTCTTTCTGCACTACATACTTTTGATAGAAACACATTTCTATGTTGGACCTGTAAAGATGGTATTCAGATATATTACTTAAAGCCCAGCTCATTTGCAGGGCTACCCTTCCCATGGCACAATCTAAGAGAACTTATTGATGTCTATGGGAAGCCCTTATGTTTATCCCCAGGAAAACCCACAGATGATTCTGGCAAAAGATGACCTTTGTTTTATGTAGGTATATATATATATACATATATATATATATATAGGTATATATATATATACATATATATATATATATATATATATAGGTATATATATTTGGGGAAATGTATAATGTTTTCAAGCTGGAAGTCAATATAACAAGTGGTGAGTGAAATTATGCTACAGAATGTATATTCTAAAACTATAACATGCCGCTGACTATTGAAATGGTCAAGCTTATACATTTAATAACAAATGACAGACTGGTAGTTCAGAAAATCTTTTTCTAGTTTGTAAGACAATTAATTGGCTGCATTCATTCTGCTTGTGACCAGAGCAAAGTACACAGCTTTAGTTTTTGATGAGAGTTCTTTGAAGTTTAGTATTCCTTCATCCACAGCATCCATTGTTGAAGTAACCATTTTCAGTTATGATGCCTTAACTAAGAAGCCAATTGCTAGCCTGAAAGGCGGTCTCAATAGCCTGTTTCACGGAATGCACAGATTTGTCAGAAATGTATACTTCCAAGCTTTAAAATGGGCTTTTAAGTCCTGTTGCTTCTGCTTGGAAGCATATTGGGATAGATTTGTCTTTCAGTATAAAAGCAAATGGCTACCTGACATTTTCTTGCCCTTATAGGGAAAGTGAGCACAAGCTGAATGGCATTGTCTGCAAAAAAGAAAAAAAAAAAAGAAAGAAAGAAAGAAAGAAAAGTAAATGAAACATAAATTGAAGAGACAGAATAGACCAATATTGTTGTGAAATCCATCTTATCCATCATCTCATCATTTCAATAGCTCCTCATCCTGGGTGAGCTTATGGCTATTTTTTTCTGTTGTTGTTATTGTTTTTAAAGAAAAGATCTATCACATGCATATATACATGTATGTGTACATATACTTACACATGCATACATGCATATGTGTGTGTTTATGTATTTAACGGTGCTAATCAATCTTGAGCAGGTCACGTGACTGGTCATGCGGACTCTAAGAATCATATCAGATTTTTTAAAAAAAATCCTTGATATATGCAGATGTTCTACAGATTTTCTTACCAGTGTAATAATGTTATGCTGAAGAATAACCATCCTGCAGGCTTCAAAGGACGAGGTCAGCAATATTTCCCACCATGGCTTGGGGGGAAAGGATAGTTTTGTCTCCTTTTGTATTCAAGTTGATGCAGTGCATTTTTGTGTCTAAGTAGCTGTTGACTAAAAGATTTTGTAGTGTAAAGGGTATTATACAAACTATAATGGTGTGCTTCAAACAAACAGATGCTAGACCCTTTCACTTTTGTTGTATATTACAAAGCTGTTAAATATGTGGTTTGAAATAACTTTGAACATGTGGAAATATGTAGCATGTGTCTTTAACTCAGACAAAGATTCTAATTGCACAAGTTGTGTTCTAGCCAGTTGTGGTTTATTTGTTCAGAAACACAAATGTGAATTGCACTCTTTATCACCAGAATATTGTATAAGTTCCGTGATCGTTAAACAGCTCAGAAGTAATACTTGAACTTCATTTGAGTAGCACAAAGTTTACAGAGCCCCTTTTAAATGTTAATTAGTTCCAATTAAGTTTTCCGATATTTTGTTTTTGGGTTTTTTTTTTTTTTTTGTTCTCCCTCCCCCCCAAATGCAACTTGGTATTTCGTTGGAAAACTGTATTTTATTTTGGTATGTAACAAAAGGCTTCCACTTCTGGAAGGTTTTATTGTTCTTAAACAAGGTCAGCCAGGTACCAGATTCTAAAAGAACAATTGCCCCCCCCCCTCAAGTGGCCTTCTGATTGCACAAATGTGCTATTACCCTCTTCAGTTGCCCCCCCACACCCAGAGGAGGTCAGTGAAAGTGATGGAGGAAGTGCAAGGCTTGCTTTACCCCCCCCCACTCACCCCCCCCACCTCACCTAGGATGTCCAGTCCAATGCAAATGGTTCCATTGCGCACACATAGCACACCGGAAGTTTGTATACTGGCCTCTTTTCCTGTCTTCAAATGTGCAAGAATTCAAAATTGTCATCTGGAATAGGTTCCATCTCTTATGTGTGTTAGATCAAACCAAAGAAGCCCCCAGCCATGCCCAAATGCTGCTCGAAAAGCCTGCCTTCCAGTCCTTACAGAAACCTTGCAGGATTAAATGTGTTATCTTTTTTATTTTTGTACAGTTTCTAAGTGATTTTTTGCTAGTGATGTTAAAGTGAATTAAGTTTATTTGAGGAGTGTGAGCACCTCCTCCATTTAAATAAACTGCTGACTTTTCCTTTTATTTTTTACAAGTGGAAACCCATTGTGTGCCTCTCGATTTCAGGGTTTCTGAATTCATTATTCTTAAGACCAGCATTGATCCTTTATATACAAAGATATGTTTTCCTTGTTTTTTATTACTGTTTCAGAAGAAAATAAACCTTTTATTTTGCTCCAGACCCAGTAACTGCGCTGGTACATAGACGCGCTGAGACAAACAAAACAAAACAAACAAACAAACAAAAAATAACTTTTGTAACCACCTCTGACTGCTTTTGTATATCGAAGTTGATTACTTTTGAGATATTTGGATCTAGTTTCTAAGTTATTTTAGTGTTTTATATGTTCCCCAAAATTACTTTGAATCAGTCACCAGCATAAAGAGTTTTTGGTGATGCAATGGTAAGACTTGTAATGAGCGAAAAAGCTACCTGGAGTAGCTCTTCCTTTCCTTCTTAGTAACCTGGTGTTTTGATTACAGTGAGACATCACGGGTTACCTAAAGCCCCTTCATTCTAACTAGGCCCTCCCTCCTTCCAGATTGAATTGCTTACTAGTTTGAAGAAGCTATTGGAAGTGGACATTTTATATGACCTGTATGGCTTTAAAATATTAAAAATGAACAAAAAAGAAAAAAATATGAAAAGGTTTATGTGGGTCTGTACGGCTGTGGAAAGATATTGTAGTAGTTTTGACACTATTGTTATTACCTTTAAAATCATTTACCCAATAAAATGTTGAAACTGCATTTTTTTGTTTTGGATTTATTTGATTTAGTTAACCTGCCTCATGATGGGGTGTTATGGTCTTTGGTACTTCTGTGCTTAAAAGGCAGGATCTCCTCTGTGCCTCTGGCTGGCCTCAAAGTCACTTTGTAGTGGAGAGTAGTGGGTCATTCATGAGATGGGGGAACATTGTCAAATTAGAGGAAACCCCTGATTAAGTACAAATGGTTTCTTTAACATCAGGCTTTGCCCGTTTTCAAAGTATAGGTTAGACCCTAAAAATGTTCTTAAGATGGGTTGTACACAATGGGTATGCGACATACAGAGGCTGAGTGCCATGTACCTTGCCAGCTCCAGAGTGGTACTTGCCTGGTGGCTTCCATCTTAAGGGAAATGCCTGAATTTGAGGGTAGGGCCAGTGGGGCCACAACTTCCAAGGGGTAGATAAAATCTCGCATCAAAAAGAAGGCACTTGCAGTGTGGCTCTCTGGCAGCTGCTGCCATGTGTCTATTCTCTACGGAAAGGCTACCGACCCAATAGTTGACATACCTCTCTTTACCAGTCATTTGCTGTCTCACTTCCAGTTTGCCCGTCTGAGCCTTAGTTGCTCCTTGAATATAACACACAGGACAGTTTTCAATTACATTGCCCCAAAGTCCTAGTACATTGTGAATTTTATAACACATGCTCATGTATCATGATAGCTAAAAACAGCCATCTCAGACCCTAAAGAACTTTGTGGTTTGGGCTAGTTACTCCATTAAGGCAGACATCTTCTGCTTGTGGGTTATTCATTTTCATCATTTGTATTTAATGGGACATTAAGATTTCTTAATCATTTAGACCATATTAATTGTTTCAGGCCAAGTAATATAACAGGCCCACAGCATTCATTTTATGGCATCCGTGGTGAACTCAATGGTCTGCACAGATTTCAACTTCTCTAATCACAACCTACCTCCCTCAATTCTTCCTTGAATTTCAGTATTCGCTCTTTAGATCCCATACCACCCTGGGCACCTTTTTAATAGATTCACTACTTTCAGAAGGCAAGTGTGGCTTTGTAGGCTGAGGCACTTTCTCTCCGTCCATGGGATGACATCAGCGGCACGGGGCCCTGTCTGGGTGAGCTA